GAGTTTTACAATAAGGCAGACAATGAAGCCCTTATGTGTAACAAAGCTCGACTAAGGATAGCTTCCTACCAACAGAGAGCTAAAAGATTCTTCGACTCCAAAGTCAAGAGAAGAGACTTCCAAGTCTGCGACCTAGTCCTCAAAGAAGTCCTTTTCGATACAAAAGAACCAAGCGCGGGGGTATTGAGTCTTAACTGGGAAGGTCTATATGAGTCACCAAAGTGATACGACCTGGGATGTATCATCTCAAAAGGCTTAATGGTTCTGAAGTACCGCTAGCTTGAAATGCTGAGCATTTGCATCCTATTATCAGTAATTCCAAACTCTTGTATAGCTTATGCAATCTATTTTACTTGTAAATTTTAGCTTGTAAATATCATGAATAAGATTATCCTCATTCTTCTTTAAGAATTACTTGTGTCGTAATCTCAAGTTTTTAATAATCTTGATTATTTGCAATTTTTTACAAGTTTTACGATTAGAAAAGCTATATTTGTTTCATGAAAGTGCTATCACAAATGGTCAAAAAGTCTATTTATATATTGGCAAAATATGTACGTGGACGACCAACAAACTACATTGAAATTGAAAGGAAAAACAAAAAAGAGATTCTTCGAGAGAGAGCAGAAGGGAGGTTGATCATTTCTCTTGACCTACAGGATCCTTGACTTCAATTGCTACGACCTCAGGGTTGGTCGCTTGATATTTAGGGTTCTCTGTTTCTTATTGATCATCTTCCTCGACAATCTCTTTATCTTCTTGTTCATCAACTGACTACATCGATGCAAGCACTACCTTATACTCTTCAGGGAGGCTAGAAACGTCCAAGTTCGGATTATCCGCTTGCAAACTATGAATAATTTGCAGTGACCAATGATTGTCTTTCCTTTCCACCTCGTTGCTTAGTTGTTTCATTTGCTCAGTCAGCAACGTGATTCGCCTATGAGCCAATATGAGCTATGTGTCTTTTGCTTTCATTTTCTTCTCTATGTTCTCCCACAGAGTAGTTTGAGTCTTTTAGATCTAAGTTCTCTTGAAGTTCCTTATCTCTTTTTTAAAGCTCTTGCTCTCGTTAGCTCAGATCTCTAGTGAGCTTCGCTATTGTCATCTGAAGCTCTTTGGTTTGGTCTTCCTTCTTTTGAAACTCTTGCTTCTGGAACTCTACTGCTCATCGAGTAAAATCCCTTTCTACCAGCAGTGTGCTCGCCTAAAGCTATGCATCACTTGCGGCTTTGTTTGAAACCGTAAGAACTTGCTTCAGTTTGGTGATCTCCTCTTTCATTCCATGAAGTTTCCCCCCAGTGTTCATTTTCATTTTGTTATGAGCAATGTTTAGGGCGAGCACATACTATAAAAGAAAAAGGATAAAGAGTTAGTTTTTAAAAAAAAAGAAAAAAAAACTAAGGAACTCGATCAGTGTTAAAGAATTTACAACGAGAAAGGTTTACTTTACCTGGCTTTGCAGTTGGAGCACAGTCGTCAGAAGGTCAGAAGGCTTGGAGGCTATGTACCTTTCGAAGGTCGACTCCAGTTTGCACTCAAGGAGAGTAAAGACCACCGGCCATAAATGATTTGGCATCGACCCTATGAGGTCTAAAATGGATTGATCTTGACCTCCCATGATGGAGACCTCCTCAGTCTGCTCCTGACCAGTTGCCCCTTAAGTGGCTGCACCTTCTTTCCCTTGCGATGCCTCTTATACATCTTTCAAGGCGACCTTTGAAGTAGGAAGTTGGGTAGGTTGTAGCCCACCCGGTAGTATTCTGAAGTCATTGGACTTAGACTCAGATGCTTCTGTTGTTATTGTTTTCCTTTTCTTCAAAGTCATGGTCTTCTTCCTCGTTGGACAAGCCACAGCAGGCTGGGGAGCTTCTTCACGTTGTTCCACAGTTGGTTGTCATTCAGCACTAGCTTGGGTCCCTATTATAGGGACATTGCTTGAAGTTGGTCTAGGTTACGAATCTGGATTCAACCTCGAGAAGATGATTCCCCCAAATCGCTTTGTTTTCTTCAACTGCATGGTGTACAAAAACAATCAGTGAAAAGAGTCTAAATATGTAAAAGACTTTGGTTTTTCTGTTTAAGAAAAACTTACGAGCTGAACCATCTAAGTATGTTTTGGGAGGGAAAAAATCGTACTTCTGAATATTTTCAATCGTCATGAGCAGCTTCGCGTCGCGACCTCTATTAGGAAGTTGGCTGAACACTAATGCGGCTGCGATCAGTCTCTGTAATCTAGTCATTTTGTTTTGTACAAAGAAAAGAGTTCATTAGCTTGTACTCTGAAAAAGAATTAAGTAAAAAAAGACGAACGACCTGAAAATTGAAGGGGGAAAACCTACTTGGTTCCTGAAATTTACAGATACCGTCGTATGTAAAGAAAAATATTTGGTCTCGTAAGCTCCAACGTTACTAGGATAACCAAATATTCCTCCCTCGATCATTGGTCGTTTGGAGAGGTACTACAAGTTCTTATCTTTACTTTTCTTCAAGATATAGGTGCAAACAAGCTCCAGTGCCGTTGGCTCCCTAAGTTCATCTCGTAGAACGATGTATACATAGCAACAACTATCATATATACGTTCGGCGTTAGCTGGAATGGCGCGACCTTGAACTGGTCAAGAATCGACCTAATGTAGGGGTGGAAAGGTATTCTCACTTCGCATTTCAAAATGGCTTCTGAGATCGCAACCATTCCCTCGAGAGGCTTCTAGGCAGTGTATGTCTTCTTTCGGTACATGTCCACGTCCACGTCGATCGCGTATTGCTCTAACTCTTTTTTTATTTAGTTCGTTGTAACGGTCAACCTTATCACTTCTTGGGACCTGCAGAGGTGCCTAGTGGCTGTGAGCTTTTCTGCCGGTTGTTCTTATCTCAAGGATCTCCATTGGGCTTAGAGTATGTAAAGGTACAACATTTAGGGTAGATTCAAACCCTGAAAAATCTACCTCATATGATGACTTAGACGAGGTGGAGGATGTCTCCATGGTTTCTACCATGGCCATCAAGCTTCTAAACCCTAAAAACTCCTAAAACAGTCCTTCAGGACTATTTACCCTAATTTTTTCAACTTTAAGTGTTTCTTTTAAACACTTCCTAAAAGTGCTCTTTCCTAAGACCTACCAGACACCCATGACCATCCTCACTGTAAAAAAGAATTTTTTTGCAGGAATGTGAAAGAAGAGAAAAATGAAGAAGTTTCTTTGCCTCTTGGTTGCCTGAAATAGATGCTCTATTGCAGCGTTGGGTTCATATCAACTAGTGAAAGAAGGATGATTTTTTTTTTAGAGTAAGAAAACGTTATTTTTCTCTCTGAAAAAATTGAGTTTTCTGAAAAATTAGGGTAAAGTTAGGGTTTTATACTGAGGAAGACAACACTACATCTTCTTTATAAGCAACGTTTGGGAGAGAATTCACTCTTGGCCATAGATCGTGACTACGTGTCATCTATCCATGGGAAGATTAACCCCCATGCTTCATAGAAATCAATCGGCGCTTCTCTTTATCGAGAATGTCAATCGTCGGCGTGATTATCTCTTCTGCATTAAATGCACCCTCATCCACATTTAATGCACCCAAAGGGAATGTCGTTTCAGCATAGCTTGCATTTAATACTCATGGCTGACACTTATTGCGCACAGAGACACATCTGTCAGATAAAGATTGTTTTATTGACCAAGCCAGTTGTCAAGCGCAACAAATAACATTTGAAGAGGTCATTCAAAGAAGACATTTATTCAACATGTTGAACACGAACACTAAACAAGTTGATTCATTGAAATATTCTAAGTGTTTTCAAGTCGTGAATGATAGTTAGAGTTCAAAACACATCCCAATGACTTAAAACAAGATTAAGCTCAAGTCATTAGATCTCAATAAACGATCACGTTAGGTCACCTGTATTACTCTAAAGTCATGACTCACGAGTCTCGACCTCCATTCAGTTCATAAAGTGAGACAATATTTCAAAAGTCAGATCAAGCAGTCAACTTCAGGTTGTCTACAACGATGCGATTATATCTCAACATTCAACTCAAGTAAGCATTTCTGAAGTCAAGTCAGGTCATGGCATAATCATGAAGTTCTCAAGATCCAATTCCTTGAATCTCAAGAACTTGTGAGCTTCTGTTATGCCTAAAAAATCAAGGCTGACATAAGCTTACGTCAGCAAGTACCAATCAAAGTTCAGAAAGGTTTTGCGCCGCCCAAAATCTACCATGTCGCCCAAGACAGAGAGAATACGACACAGGCTTAGGCTTTATCAGTGAGTGAATGTGGTCCACACACCTGTCCAAACCCCATATAATTTAAGGATATTTCCTAAGTTATCAGCCAATTGGAGGCAAGGAAGGACTTGCACGATACATACTCACTTGTAGACTTATAATTATTACCTTGAACTCAGCGGCTATAAATAAAGGACTCCCCCTCACAAAATCGGGATTAGACGCTCTGAATTCATAAAAACAAATAGCAAAGACAACCTACGGGAAAGAGACTGGCTTAATATTCTCTCTGAATACCATTCTATTGTAAGTATGTTCGTTGTTCACGTCCTCTTGTAACTTGGCTAATATCCAAGAACACTCAAATAATCGATAACAGTAGATGTAGAAATTGCTATAAGCATCCGAATCACTATAAAAATTCTCACTGTCTCCTTTATTATTAAGCTTTGCATGAAACTGTGATCTTAATCCAAATCTCATATTAAACACGTATAATTTCTAAGATCTTCTTAGCAGTTTGCACGTTTAAGATCGTTGATGTCAAAATCACGCATCAACAAACTATAAAATAACATGTACTAAACACGGGATGATATTTAATTGATTTCCCTGGATAATTTTTAAATTGAGAAAAAGTAATTACATTATTGTTTAAAACAAACAAAATTTGATAAATTAGACACTCACTCAATACACTTAACATATATGTGCAGGCATGACAACATTTAACTTGAGGAAAATTGAAATTAACATAATTCATGATAATAATGATCAAAGCTCCGACTGAGAGAAGCTCTTTTTAACTTTGTCTTTGGTTTTCTGCACCGTTTTCCCTGCAATTTCAGCAGCCGATTTTGCCGACCCCTCCAGAGTTGCTTTGCTCTTCTCGATACTCTTCGCCACCGCCCCTTTCACCTTCTCCCCTCCATCACCCGCTTCATCTTTCACCCTAAAACTGTATTTTATCATCCCGTTTTCAGAAACATATGTAAGCAACAAAAATGTAAACTTTACCGAAGAATATCTGAAAACGCATTTGGTACAAATATGTCCAAATATTTTCTGATTCAGACATAACCCTAACAATTTGTATAAGATCAAAAGTCGTTTTTACAACTTTTTTATAGTTTTTCTCCTTGAAAACAGTATTTGAATCTTATCAAACTCTGTTTTCAGATTAAATTACACGTACTCTAGTTTTTAAAGTTCTTTTTGAATCACAAATGAATTGGAACCTCACTTACTCCAGATTTGGAGGAAAGAAATGAGCCTGTACTCGATTGATTGCTGTTTTAACTTTCTCCCAATAGCTTCTTCCACTTATAGGAGAGCTTGTAGAAACAGTAAATAAGCTTTTCACCACCTGAAAAATAGATGCTTTCTCTTCTTCTTCTTGCTTTTGCTCCGGTTTCTCTTGCCGTTCAGCCCCAGAAACGAAAACGAAAATAAACAACATGCAGATGATTAAAACGGCAGCTTTTCCTCTATGTTTATCCATGTCTTTTCGAGATCAAAATATGGATAGAATCAGCTGGGAAAAAAGTGGTTAAAAAGATAAAGCTATACTTTTGAGTCAAGAGAATCAAGGTGTTCTTATATTGCCACGTTTGTTCGGTTTATACTATAAAGCAGACGTATTGAAAAGAGAAAGAGAAGACAGCTTTGTTAACGGCAGATGGATTTCCGCTACTGTTGACACGTTTGTAATTTGCCGAAAAAACAAAGTAATTACGGTGGAGACGTGGCTTCTTCTTGGAGCTCCAGTTGTTGTTCCTGTCGGCAGATTTTTAACATATTATTAATATTTACCGATAACAATAATTCATTTAAATATATAAAAACACATATTTAAATATAATTTCACTTATTAATTTTATTAACAAATTAAATAAAGTACGACCTCAGTAAATTTAATTATATTATAAAATTATCAAAATATCCTTTCACCTAAAAAGACGAAAACACTCTTCTTATAAATTGGCTCTTAAATTATTTTCTATGTGTGTGACCTATAGGCTCCTCATCATACCGGTAGTGTATAGTATCACGATTAACACCAATTAATCGTCTCACTACACATAAATCAAGATTGGCCCCTAACAAAGCATCATAGCCACTCGATTGATTTGGATTCAACGAAGCAGCTACCTGTCAACGATATGGTTACCGTAAAATCCAATCCTTTCATCATCTGTTATACCGGGGCATAGAAATAGTGTCAACCTCGGTTACTCTCAATATTATGTATTCAGTTACTAGACCAATGACCTAAATTATATACTGGATAGAGCAACAACTCAATCCTATTGTGGCCACAGTTTTAGTGTCATTGTCATTTATTGAATTGCACCGTAAGATAACTTCTCCCGTACCTGAAAGTGATGAATCCTCTATCGATCCACCATAGTCTTGATGTAGCCAAGCACTACCTTATTGACAGCTCTAAATAGAACTATGTTGGGCTAGTGTTAAATCACATTAATCGGTGCACAACGCGCTTCAGTGATCTCAAGTCTAAGGATCACATGCACCACCATTCGTTAGAGGATTTGTTCCATAGACACTAGGGTTATCATTCATATGGAATCCTCTAATGGGTCAGTCCAGTGAACTTGTCTACAGCAAGCACCCATGTGTTGCACTAGGTTGTTACCAAACAATCTTGACAAATGAGATCAGTCACTGCCTTTCGACAGAGTCGTTCAACACTATGATAGCCTTACCGTATTATTTGTGCCCTTACTTCAGAATAATATTAGGGCTACAGACGTTTCTAGAATGGCCACCATATGTGCTCATAGGGTTCTCACTATCAAGATTTGAAACACTTGATACCCTTGTCACAGTTCCGCCATTCTAAGGACATATATCAATACATACAATAATGATTTACGCAATATAGAATAAAATATCTTTTATTGATTAACGAACACTATAACAAAGAGTCAATTCTATTATAATTGATTGGTTCTAGGGCACCTACTCTAACAATCTCCCTCTTGCACTATAGCCAATCATTCATGTATTTAATACCAAATGATCTCAAGTGCCTTTCATGCTTCTATTGCGACAGAGGCTTTGTCAGTGGATCTACAAGATTGTCGTCGGTATGCACTTTACTGATCTGCACATCTTTCCTCTCAACTATTTCTCTGATGAGATGGAATCATTTGAGTATGTGTTTGGACTTCTGATGAGACCGTGGTTCCCTAGCTTGAGCAATTGCTTCATTGTTGTCACAATTAGATGTCTATTGGATCAACAATTGTAGGAACCACACTAAGTTCAGTGACGAACTTCTTAATCCAGACTACCTCCTTGGCCGCTTCTAATAATGCAATATACTCAACCTCCATTATAGAGTCTGCTACAGTACTTTGCTTGGAGCTCTTCCAGCTCACTGCACCCCTATTGAGACAAAAGAAAAACTTTGATTGCGATATATAATATCTTTGTCTGTTTGGAAACTAGCATCATTGTATCCTCTTACAATGAGCTCATCTTCCCCTCCATAAACCACGAACATATCCTTAGTCCTCTTCAGGTACTTAAGAATGTTCTTGACAGCCATCCAGTGACGCTCACCTGGATCCGATTGATATCTACTACAAGTGCTCAAAACACATGAGACATAGCATGGCATACAAAATGGATGCAATTGCTGATGCATATGGAATCCTCTTCATCCTATCTCTCTCATCTTGTGGTCTAGGACATATTTCGTTAGAGAGATAAACACCATGTGACATCGGAAGAAATCCCTTCTTTGATTCTTCCATACTGAATCTTTTCAGTACTTTGTCAATATATGCACTTTGACTTAGGCCAAGCAACCTACGCGATCTATCACGATAGATCTTTATTCCAAGGATGTAGGCTACTTCCCCTAAGTCCTTCATGGAGAAGCACTTGGATAACCAAGTCTTTACCGACTGCAAGTTCGGTATATCATTCCCGATCAGAAGTATGTCATCGACATACAACACTAGGAATGCCACTGCATTCCCACTCACTTTCTTGTAAACACAAGGCTCATCTTCATTCTTGATAAAACCGAATTCTTTTATGGCTTCATCAAAACGAATGTTCCAACTCCTTGAAGCTTGCTTGAGTCCATAAATGGATCTTTGCAACTTGCATACTGTTAGGAAACGGTCCACATACGCAGCGGAAAAAAAAAATATAATACAAGGATCGTTTACATGAGCCAAGATCAAGGGTATAATTTTACAATTTATATCATAATAGAAATCTACAAAAAAATTAATCAAGAGTATAGAATAACAAACACACGTTTGGAGGCTCCTCCAAAATAGTCTTTGTACGTATTTGCTACCGACCCAAGCGTAGAATCGAACTTATGAAGTTCACACGAAGACAATCACAAAGAACTAAGGAGGCATTTGCTAGATCCTCCTTAGCTTTAAGATTAAAGAAGAAAATCAAATGAATTGATTTTGGGCAAAATGCAATACTGCTGTGGGAGTGTTTTTGTGGCTGGAGGCTTTCTTTCTTTTCAATCAAATGACATAATGAAATCACTCCTCTTTTACAATTACCAATTTTCTTTTATAGTAAAACTTTAATGCCCTATTCCCATATGGAATAGGCTTGGGCTCCAACCCAAACACTCCATGTTACCAAACACACCCTAATTAGATATTTTATTTATTTCATCAGTATCTCAATTAAACTCAATTAATATATAATTAATCTATATTTATTAACATTTAACAATAATGATGATTTAATTAAATATATGCGAACACATATTTAAACGTAATTTCACTTATTTAATTTTTCTAATAAATTAAATAAAGACTACGACCTCAGCAAATTTAATTGCACTGTGAAATTACCAAAATACCCTTTCGCCTAAAAAGACGAAAAATGCTATTCTTTCTTCCTGAGTCTTAAATTATCTTCTATGTGTGACCCATAGGCTTCTCATCATACCGACAGTGTATAGAATCGCGATTAACACTAATTAATCGTCTCACTAATACACAGAACAAGATTGGCCCGTAGCAAGGCAACATGACCACCCAGTAGATTCGGATTCAGCAAAGCAGCTACCTGTCAACGATATGGTTACTATACAATTCGATCCTTTCATCATACTATATCTCGACGAGACGAAGGCATAGAAATAGTGTCAACCTTCGATTACTCTCGATATTATGTATTCAGTTTCTGGACTAATGACATGTATCATAAACTGGATAGAGCTACAACTCAATCCCACTGTGGCCACAGTTTTAGTGTCCTTGTCATATACTGAATTGCACCGTGAGATAACTTCTCCCGTACCTGGGAGTGATGAATCCTCTGTCAATCCACCATAGTCTTGATACACTCCTTGATGCAGCCAATCACCACCGTATTGACAGCTCTGAATAGAACTATGTTAGGCTAGTGTCAAACTACACCAATCAGTGCACAAGGTGCTCCGGTGATCTCAAGTCTAAGGATCACATGCACCACCATTTATTAGAGGATTTGTTCCATAGACACTAGGGTTACCATCCATATGGAATCCTCTAGTGGGTCAGTCCAGTGAACTTGCTGCGGTATATCCGCCTACAACAAGCACCCATGTGTTGCACTAGGTTGTCACCAAACAACCTTAACAAGTGAGATCAGTCACTGCCTCTCGACAGGGTCGTTCAACACTATGATAGCCTTACCGTATTACCTGTGCCCTTACTTTAGAATAATACTGGGGCTACGAACATTTCTAGAATGGCCACCATATGTGCTCATAAGGTTCTAACTATCAAGATTTGAAACACTTGATACCCTCGTCATGGTTCTACCATTCTAAGGACATATATCAATACATATTGCAATAATAATGATTTACGCGATATAGATAAAATGCCTTTTATTGATTAATGAACATTATTACAAAGAGTCAATTCCACAATAATTGATTCGCTCTAGGGCACCTACTACATACCCTATCAGCTTGCCCATCAAGAACGAAACCATCGGGTTGTGTCATATACACATCCTCTTCAAGGTTTCCATTCAGGAAAGCTATTTTGACATCCATTTGCCAAATCTCATAGTCATGATATGCAGTAATCGCAAGTATGATCCTGATGGATTTAATCATGGCAACCGGAGAAAAGGTTTCTTTATAGTCAATACCATGAATTTGTTTGAAACCTTTGGCAACTAGTTGTGCCTTATAAGTATGCACCTTGCTATCCATGTTAGTCTTCTTCTTGAAGACCCAATTATACCCTATGGGTTTTACCCTTTTAGGTGGTTCCACCAAAGACCATACTTGGTTCTGGTACATGGAGTCCATCTCAGATTTCATGGCTTGAAGCCATTTAACAGAATCTGGATATGATATAGCGTCTTCCTAGGTTCTGGGTTTATCGTCTTGGTAGACTAATGCGTCACCATGTTGTGTCACGAGATAACCATATCTCTCGGGCTCATGGCGTACTCTCACAAATCTACGTAGCTCATGTGCTACCTAAGGTG